TCCAATAGTTCATCTTTTGCTATGGAGGCTCCTGAGTAGTGCTTCTATGAATGACACACACACACACACACACACACACACACACACACACACGACCCAACCCCCTCCCCATTGGCCCACTGGCTGTGACTGACCACAGCGGGAGCCAATGGCCGCTGCTGCTGTGTAAGCCAATGATGAGAGAAAAATCTCAGAGAGCTGCTGCTCTCATGCACATCGCTGGATTGAGATCGGGCTCAGGTAAGTAATAAGGGGGCTGAGGGGGTAGCTGCTCCTAGGTTTTTTACCTTCATGCAGAGTATGTATGAAGGTAAAAAAAAAAAAAAAAAAAAAAAAAACTTGAGCCATTAGAACCACTTTAGAATATACACTTCAGTCAATGCTAAAAACACTACATGAAAAGCATACAAGGAGCAAAGCATGTTTAATACTCCAGGCTCTATTTTTCACCAGTCCCATTTGTCAGTAATTCAATGACCCTAGACCCCCCCTGCTTTTTTGGAATCCAGTAGTAGATGAATTTCCAAAGACACTCACTACAGACTTCCTGCTGTCTTCCCTATACAGATAGACCAATATGTTAAAACATCAGCACTAATAAAATTATTACAGCCAACTGTCAGATTTAAAAGTGCTTTGGAGGTTTAAATCCAAAAATGGAAATAAGAGGAAGTTGCATAGGTACAGCAGTGTTCAGAAACAGACCCATCAACTAAACATGTAAGTGGTGGTGTTATGCCTGGCTACAGTGAATTACACAGGGCAGGGCTCATATAAGAGTAAACTGAAGGGATTTTCTGACTGCACTACAGCAGTACTTTTTAAATGACCAGTTTTTCTAACTGCCTAAAACTGCTCTATGTGGTCAGTCTGCAAAATATGGGAGATTGGGGAGTGGTGCATGGGTGGGTGCAATCCTACCGTGAAAGCATATTGCTAGCCACAACCTACACTTATCAAAATACAACCTCCCCACCAATGCCTGCAGAAAACATGTACAGGTATAGAACAGCTCCCTTTAATCTGTACTGAAGATGTTAAATGGCATTTAAATAAGTTCTGGCAGTAGGATTTTAACTGTCAGTTCCAAAATACACATTCAACATGCTCAAATCGACCTGTGCCATCTATGCCCTAAATGCCTTCCTACAGATCCTGTCATGTGGGTGTAGACAGTATTACTTTAATAACAGAATGAAGTAAGTGCAAATCATCTACAGCTTCGGTTTTACTTATATAAAAAAAAAAAAAAAAACCCACAAGTTTATATTAGCTGGCATGGCATGAGAGCTGAAATCATAGAAATCCTATTTTGAGAACAGTGCTCCATGACGCAATTACAGGAATCTGTAATTCCTGAAATAACATTACTGGGATCTGTCCCAGCTAAGATGGTTCTTATGCTTCCAAATGCTATATTCATGCACTTAAAATAAAAGATGGTGCACTGAGAAAATGCTGCCTCTATCACACTTCTACTTTTACCAAAATGATGTTCTCTCTATACAAAACTCCTATGGAGTTGGCAACATAAGGAAGGAGAAATGTACTAAGTGGTGACCAATCATATTTTCTATTATTTCACTTGCTATTCCAAATATAGTGGCAAAGCATTGAGCATAAGAGGGTAATTCTTAACCATTTTTCTACTCATGTAAGTGGTTTTCTGTACCCACATTTGAAATAAGCTTGCAACCTGAAAATAAAGACCTGTCCAAGTTGTCTGGAGATTGCAGAGGTACGCAAGAGGAGCTGTGGCATGTTTTTTGGAAACAGCAGAGCATAAAGTAATATACTGATAGAGTGAAAACAAACGGATACAAATACAAGTATGTGTGAACCCTTACGATAGATAGATAGATAGATAGATAGATAGATAGATAGATAGATAGATAGATAGATAGATAGGATAGATCTGTATGGGTGCTGTCAGCACAAGCCTGATCACTGGAGGGCAGGCAGGCTGCTCTCCCAGCACAGCCAGAAAACCGACATCACTGGAAAGGATGTGCTCTCCTAGTGTGGTCAGTTTGAAATAGGAAAGCATAGGGACTGGCAGGAACACCAGGGATTTCACACAAAAGGAAGCAATACAAAGAGAACAGGATACTTTTTAACACAAGTACATGGTACTGAAGACATATCAGGAAAATGAAATGTAGGGTACATATATTCTTTAAGACCTACTAGCAACAGAATTTATTCCTAAATCTATCTTGTCAGGCATGTAAGGTGGCTAAAAGACAGGGAACTTTTTGTTCAGATTTTTAAAACAGAACCATTCTTAGCCATCACTATTCTCCAACACCGAGTGAATGCCACATTGTTTACTACAGAGCTAAACTTTCATGATTACACACTGGTTACATATGCAAAGAAAAAATTTTAGCATTTTTTAGTTTGTAAAATTCTGCAGAAATATTTGTATGCATTTATTAATCTGTGAAGTTATTATTTAATGAAGCTAAGGTATGTTGTAGTTTGATTAATCTCCGGAGACATGAACAAGCTGATGTCATGAAAAGTTAGTCTTTGCAAACAAAATAGCACAGGACTTAGCTAAAATTCCTAGATTTAGGGTACGTGAAGCAGTGTAAAGTAAGGAAAATGGCAGTTAAAAAGGTAACCCATGAGAAATATCAAGATATAACAACTGCTCCAGCACAATATATCTGCACATTCTTTTCTTTTTAGCACAATTTGAAGCTGAACGAAAACCTCTATTTCCTCATAGCGGAGTAAATGTATATAACCCTTTACACATCTCACAATACAAGACGGATGGCTAACTGACCTATCAATGGACCTGAGCACTGTCATGTGGGAGAAGCAGATGCATACTTATGATGAGGTAAAGCGCTACTCTGAAAAAGTCACTATTTGCATAGCCATTTCATTAGGCCTCTGGAAGGATGATGGATGGGTTAAAAAGTTGTTGGTGTGGATCGCTTAAGCTGCTAGCTGGAATAATGACTTTAATTTTTATTAGTATTCATAAGTTCCCTTTAAATCCCCTGTAATGAGTCATATCTACCACTAGAGTGAGCATCATCTCATATACGGAATTTTCACATTGCAATAATAGCTGAGAGGCACAAGCATTTAAATCAGGTATTTGAACAGTTGGAAGAATTTATTTTTCCCATTTCATCCCTTTCTCTTCCATCACCTCCTTTCCTTTACACAACTGACTTACCTAGTATAAATTATTAAAGTGGTTCTAAATGCTGAAGGTTTTTACCTTCACGCTTTCTATGCCTGAAGGTAAAAAAAATTCAGCATGCAGCTCCCCCTCAGCCCCCCCTCCATGATTGCCGGTTCACATAGATCTGCATCACATGTGAAATAACATTGCTTCCTATTGTGCCTGTTCACATATATAAGGTGCACTGACAGTGCGGATTGAAGAGTCCTGTATGATTTCTGAGCAGTGCAGTCCAGTTCAGGATATTGATTTATATGAGAACAGCTTCTAAACCGCACATATCAGTTGTGAACAGGATAAAATCCTACCTCAACCTGATCTAAACCTGTCCTGAACCTGATCTGAACCTCTGAACAACTACTGTATCAATTAGCTGTGAATCCTGAGCTTCAATCCATACTACATGTGTGAATCCACACTCAGAAATCGGATATAACCCTTTTTCATTCACACTGAATCCGTACTGCCAGTGCACCAGACATATGTAAACGGGCACCATAGGAAGCAATGTTATTTCAAATGTCATGTGGCTTGGATGCGGTCCAGATATAGGTGAACCGGCACTAATACTTTCCTGAACCCAAACTCGATCCAGTGCTGTGCACGAGAGCAGCAGCACTCCCAGGTCTCTCCTTGCTCATTGGCTGAGACACAGCAGTGGGAGCAATTTGCTCCCTCTGCTGTCAATCATAGCCAGTGAAAAGGGAGAGGGGGGGTGGGGGAGCAGGGCCAAGCCACGCTCTATGTCTCTCAGACATACAGAGGCAGCTCGGGAGTGAGCATGCACGAGCGCTCCCAGAGCAAGCAGCTTGGTGGAGGAGCCAGGAGAGCCAGCAGCGGGGGACCTGAGAAGAGGAGGATTGGGGCTGCTCTGTGCAAAACTATTACACAGAGCAGGTAAGTATAACTTTGTTTTTTTTTAATATGAACCTTTAATATCACTTTAAATTATATTTTCCACTATCAGGGGCTCTGAACAAAATTACTATTACACATCGGAACATTTTTGATTATATACATTAACAATTTACTATCTGATTTTAGATGGGACACTTATTGATCTTAATTATCCACTGATTTTATTGAGTTGTTTGGATATTATATTTATTTTAGCGCTGCACTTTTTTACATATTATTCATGTTCTAGGGTGATATTGGTTACCTTTTTGTGCATAGCAGCTTTCCTGGTCTATGTGTAGAGCGCTCGCACTTTTGTTTATATATACTATTAATGTATGCAATACCCCTCTTAGTATAGTGTTTCATAGCATTAATCATTTTTCCCTGGATTCAAAATGAAAATTGAGACCAAAATTAGAAGATATTACCAAAGCTCAACTCACATAAGACAGTCGAGCATAATCTCAATGCTGAGACCATATAGCTTGCCAGGAATAGGTGATCACAAAAGAGCGACCATGCAAGTGAATAGGGCACGTCACAACCATGAGCACAACTAGGTTCGTGGTTGCGACTAAGACATTTCCAGTAAACAGGCCATTCGGCTGTCAAAAATTAAAAACAGTCACGTGGGGTAGCAATATCACCTGCTGAACGCCTGTCAGCTGCTCTCTTGTCCCTTTAACAGACAATGCAAATGTCAAATGAGCCCCAAGATAAATTCCCCCTATTTTGGAGAGATTGCCACCCTTTTCTTGTTGTGTCTCCAGAACAGGAAGGGAATATAAATGTACCAAAACAGGACACAGGCAACAAGAAAACAGTTTTAAACCTTATTTGTCAGCTAATATTTTACATTTCCACAGCAGAATCACTGGCACCCAATGTGATCATTACTCACCGTGGTTATAAATCGATACATCGGCTGCCGCCGCTCTGTATATTTAACGGTGATGGGGCTGAGGTCATACCGGAACCAGATGGCGGGAATAATTCGACCCGTGTGGCTGTATGCAACATATTCCTACATGAAATATGAAAGTCCTACTTAGACCAATTACTAGCAATGTTACATGACATCAAATATATAACGTATCATTAATGTAACAAAAAAGCATCAGTAATGTCAGACAGTAGCACTGAAACTGAGGCAATGAAAAATTCCAGAGTAGAGCCTTTCATATTTGAAAAGACAAAATAGCTGAATTAGAAACAAACGTAGTCTCACCAAGAACAATTAACATGTAGAAAAGAGGCCTTCTTTGGCTATGTGAGCATTACATTACTCTGGGGCTATGTAACTTTGTTGGAATTTTTCTTTTTTAAGAAAAAAGTCTGCCTTTCAGACTATTGCCTTTTGGCAACCTTCTTCTGTTCAGTTTATTAATAAAACTGACATCATGTGTCTACAGCACACATTTCCTATTGCCAGCATAAAGTACCAGTCTTCATTCTTGTAGATCTGCGGACAGGCTTACCTTATTAGCTACAGTATACTGGTATGAAAACCTCTGCTTTCCACTAAGGTCTTCGAACACAGTTGGTACTATCTTTAAGATGTAGTCATGAGAGGCCAGGGCTGCATAAGTGGAAAAAGAAGGGTCAATGTAAAGTAGCACAAGAGCATGACATTCCCTGCGCAAACTCAGTCAAGGCAAGAATTACATAAGTGAATCTCTCAAAAAACAGTAACAGAGAAGCAGACAGATGGCTAGGAATAACATTCAAGGTAAAGATTTTGTTAGTTTGTTTCAGGTCATCTCCAAGGGCATAACACGGTGGTTGCCTCTGACAGCTGGACTCCCCAGTTGATTATTTTACTTTCTGGAGACTCTGTTGGGGAATGTAAAAACTACCATTTGTCTGTTTTTGAAGCACATTTCCACTTTTGCAGCCAAATTGGAAAAATACCTACTTTATATTTGTTACACGGTGTCACTCTCACATAACAGAAAATTAAAATCACGGCTTACCATTTCAGATGCTCATCTGATAACGTCGGCACTGAAAAATTCTACTTAGTCCTGTTTGTTTGTAGCCTCCCTGGCAGTATTCCCGAGTGTAGCTCGGTGTAAAGTTTCAGTACCACAAGCGGTAACCCCGAGCTACACTCGGGCTTACCATGCATCGCTTCTCCGCTATCCCTAACCTTGTCCTGCGCTCCCGCGATGTCCCTCCTGCAGTGTCCCCTGTAATCTCCTCCGGCGGATGCCGGCATCTGTCATCTGGGTTCCGTCCTCTGCGAGCGTCAGGACGTACGGGGATGGAACGGCGGAAATTTGAAAAATGACAAAAAGTGACATTCACTAAAATCACATAGTAAAACATTACTGTATCAAGCCATTTCACATACATTTTGTCCCTAGTGCTTTGTCCTGTGCCTTGCCTGCATTTTTACTGTTCTTTCTGCCTGGAAACTGAGAAATGTCCATGGCATCCAAAAAGTGTCCCTTTAGGTCAAAAGCGGCTTTAGACCAGCTAGAGAACAGCGATAGTAAATTAGAACTACTTGCAGAATTGAGTGATGATGATTCGTGGGGAAATTCGTCATCAGACACTGAAAACGATTTTGCGACTTTGCTCAGTGATGTGCGAACTTGGCGCTATATTTCAAATTTCAGTGTTTTTGGTTTGATTATATTATTGAATTAAAATTATTATTATATAATTTTTCACGATTATTAAATTATAATTTATGATTTCGTGTTTCAAATTGTAACATACCCGGGATGTTTACTAGACTCTTGTTCGGACAGATTTCAGTTCGTTATTCCTAAAAATTACAGGCCTACAATAAAAAAAATACATATTTCCAAGCAAAAAAATGTACTGCTTTGAGCACAGAAATATGGACATAATCATACCGCTAGGGAGGTTAAGGGGGCTGAGGAGCTGTGTTAAGATAATCAACCATGTCTCTACTGTGCTGGCACATTGCTTTTTATCAGTTGTTACATAAATTTGATCACTGTCTGTCCTAACAAAAGGGTTAAATATTTAGAAGTTTGACTTCTGCATTGAACAGTAAAGTGGTAGTAAACTTGTTTTCTTAAATTTTACCTACAGGAAAGCTTACCTGTAGGTAAAATGAATATCTCCTGTGCATCGTTTAGGAGATATTCTTTCCTAAAGCCGATGCATGCGCTCTAAAGGAACGGCTTCAGAGCTCTGTGCGGTGCCCCAGGACTCCCGTGCGCATGCGTGGGAGTGACGTCATCATGGCCCAGCCTGTCAGATGGCTGGAGACTGCAAACCCGGGTGAAGGACTGTGTAAAAGATGGAAGCTTCTGCAGCAGTGACAGAGTGCCGCTGTAGGGCTTTGATTTAAGGCAAGTCCTTGATAATGTACGAGTATGCGATGCATACCAGCAAATTATGACATTACCTTGCCGAGGACTTTTGTTTGTTATTTCCCCCTTTCTTCCGGTTTACTACCGCTTTAATGAGAGGAAAATCAGCCTGTCCTTTGCCTTTCTATTGGGATAGATTTAGAAGTGTTCAGAAATACTTGCTGTTTGCCATAACACCTTCTCCTGAGAAACAGCTACAAAATTAAATAAAAAAAAAAAAAAAATGTAGGGATGTTGTGTGATTGGGTACATAACATATAGTAGGGTCTTCTCAAATGTGACTGCAAAAGTGGAAGTACACTTTAAAGTCATAAAACATGTGAAGACAGAGTGAGCTCTGCAGTCACTTTTGCAGCAGTTGTTTTCTTCCTGTGACCCCAGAGTCACAATCCTGCGCAACGTCCTTTGGTCTCTTTCGGTCACTTGTCCATAGCGACCGTGTTTATGATTATCAGACGACATTGTCCCAGAAACTGTATATGCCATAATAATCTTTGATACTTTGATACTGTATCTCGCGACACAGCAAATAAATTGGAAACTTCAGTCAGAGAGGCACCAGCTAAGCCGGCAACAACAATTTGCTCTCTTTGAAGTTAAGGAAGCTCTGACATGACTCCGTATTACTAGCAGCGCTTGCAGTGGATGACAAAAGTGAGGCTTCCCACCTGTTGTCTCATTAAACAGCAGAAGCAAAAGAGTGTTACATCACTTCCGCTTTCAATGTGAAACATGTGGTCACTTTCACACCTGGAAATCATGGAGTGTCCAACCGCTGAACAAACACCGTTTATACATGTACATGAAATGCCTATGTTACACATTTATGGTACATTTATTCTGCCCACCTCCCTTGGATTCTACTTCCCCAAAGCCTTCTCTCAAGGGCCTATGTATAACTATAGCAGTAAGGGGACAATGACAGTATCAAAACCAAAGCAAAGAAAAAACCTACAGTTCTGGGTATTATATTATATCCCTGCCTCCTACTCTGCAGTGGATGGTGCCAGAGGAAACTTGGGAAGCTTTGCACAAGTTTTGGTTTAGGAGATGTAGGAGGATCCATCAGCAGATTTCAATGGCAGGAGAGTGAGGTACAGTTATCTTAGGGGTTTTATTTTACCCTCCATCTGTCTGTACCACAAGAGTGTTGGCCTGATATCACCTGAGGAGGAAACTTGCAAATGGTTTCTATTTAAATAAAATAAAACCAACACTGGTATCAAAATACTGTAATATCAGTAGCCAAGTAATGGGGATTACAGTAACAGATTGAGCAAATGAGCTACTCATCAGGAAAAAAGGCTTCGAAAAGTTTGCTTGTCTTTAAAAATGAAGCTGCAGGTACTATGTACGTACGGTTGGAAGCCAGTCTGTCTGCTCCACCCAAAGCATTGAAAGCACCATGAATGTGCGTAACCTAAAAGACATAAAAATAGCGATACTTATGAGGACAATAGAAAAATAAAAAAAATTGTGGGCAAAGACGACAAAATGCTGAATAGTAAATATGATATAAAGATCTTATGAGAACAGTAACTAGACTGTTTACCTTCTACGTTTACCTCTTAAAAAGCATTTCCACTAAAAACAGATCTAAAACCATAGGCTAGATGCATCAAGACAGCATGAAGAAAATATTTGGTTCTGTGGTTTCTCATGAAAGTAATAATTAGTCACCAACTTAGAACCCATAGTAGACCGAATCTGAAGGCCACTTTATTTTTTTTGTCAAAAGAAAGCTTTGGGTTTACACAGACTTTCATGGCATAGTTTCCAGAACCACATGTCAAACATTTGAAGGTCACTTTAAATTGGAAAGCCACTTTAATTATTTAAATTAAGCAATGAAACAATAGTTAAAACCCCAATTTGACTTTGAAACTCCATTGGATTTGGACCTAAGGAAATACCACCATCTTCCCAGCTACAATGTAAAATTGTATCTAGACCCTTTATTAGTTTTGATGTGCATTACAAATATGGAGCTGTGAATCATAATGCAAGTAAAAACCTGTAATTTCCCATTTACAGCTTTCAGAGAAGGATCTCTCCACAGGTACCAGCCACACCCAATTGTGCCCTTGTCATCAGGCTTGAACGGACTGGCTGGTACTGTACAATGGGATAACTATTTCCTATGGCAGCATACATCATGCTTGATTGGTGCCCTGCCAGAATTTTCACAATGACAAGGTGCTACTTGGGCGTGTTCCTGGGTGGGTAAGTCTGTTATATAATACAAAGCACAATACATAATTACTTTGTGATACCATGTACTTGAGCTCACCCAGCACCACAATCACTCAGACTTTACTCATTCTTACTGATGTATGAAAAATAAAAGTGGATCAGTTTTCTTGTACTAAAAATGCATTTTAATTAGAGCTGCTTACCACATCCTTAGAATTCTACAGCCAACAGTGTTCTCATGACGCAATAGCTCCAGGTGCTTAAACCACAAAACTTTATTCTTTGAATAAACATCAGCATACAAAACACCAAGGTCCTTAGCAACATATCAGCAGCAACATCAGATCCACATCTTTGTGATCTTCGGTCGCAAACCGGAAGTGCATGTGCCGCCATTTTGGAAAAGGGATTTCTGCACATTGCTTACAGCATACACTGTACAGTGAGTTTTAACCCTGAAGGGTCCCAGGACGACACTTTTAAATAGGAGTTTACTAGATTATTTTAATAAAGGCTGTTTTTATTGGCAATACTATACAATACTGAGAGTTCTTTTCACATGATGTGGAGCGATCTGGAGATATTTAAAAGTGCTGGCTAACAGTGTGAAGATCTGTGTACCAGTATACCCTCCCGGGTTAAAAGGAAAAGCGTAGTTTGACCTGTCATTACGGGTAAAAAACTTGGAGGTGTGCACAATAGAATGTTGGAGGTGGATGATCACTAAGTGGTGACACAGGGACACCATATACGTTTATGCAGTAGTGTGTTTACACTGGTCCACTTGAAGTATAGAGGATTTAAAAGGGACGGTTCACCATTTTTTGAGACCATATTTATAGGATACTCGCTGCTGGTGTATTTGGATCACAATCTTTAGGAGATATACCACACAAGTTCACGTGAAGAGATTTAAGATTTAAAAAGGGACAGTCCACTATTAACCACTTCCAGTATGGACACTTTTACCCCCTTCCAGTCCAGGCCAATTTTCAGCTTTCAGTGCTATCACACTTTGAATGACAATTGCGCGGTCATGCAACACTGTACCCATATGAATTTTGTAGCATTTTTTTTGAGACAGATAAAACTTTATTTTGGTGGTATTTACTCACCACTGGCATTTTTATTTTTTTTTGCTATGTAAATTAAAAAGTCCAAAAATTTTGCAAATAAATAGTATTTCATCATAAATCTTGGCCAAAATGTATTCCGTTATATTTTTAGTAAAAAAACAAAAAAAAAACACAAAATTAGTTTATAACCAAAAATTATAATTTTTAAACATTTTCTTTTACTATTTTTTACTTATTTTTTTTTTTTTTTACATACTGTCACCCTAGCAGTACAGTGTCACCATGGTGACACTGTACTGCTTGTGGGGGGGTGATGTAGATTTTTTTTAATTCTTACACTGATAGCTTTTTACACCCATAAAAGGATGTGAAAAGCAATCATTTCTCCTCCTCTCTAGCTGCATTCTTGCAGCCATTGATAACTACTGAGTGAGCTGTGATTGGTCACAGCTGGTCACATGATACAAGGCTGTTGTGAATAGCCTTGTACCATGTGACCTCTGTGATCATCCACAGATTTCACACATAGTAAGCAATGATGTCAGAAGTGACATCTTACTACTCTGCACGTGATCACTGATTGGCCAATCAGTGATCACATGATCGGGACCTCGTACAATCCAGAGGACGCAGCGGGCACCAGATCGCGGTGTGCGCGCTCCCTTTTATAAACGGCCACCCTACCCTGCACTGCCACTGTTCGGCCATTTATATACAACGGCCGGACGGGAGGTGGTTAAGGACATTTATTTGGTATTTGTGTGCACAATTCATTTTTAGCACTAGTTATGTGCAGTTCTATGGGTACCTATGTGTATGCATTGGCAAGACATTTAATGTAGCACACATTGATTGTCACAAGCACAGTTTCTGTTTTCACTACTAATATATGCACACTTAATATTTTAGCACTATATTTATGTTTATATTGCTGCGCTGCAGTTTTTATTAATTTATGGTTTACATGTGGGAACACATTATATGCTAGCCGCACAGTTTGTGTATAGAGAACCCTTAGTGCAATAAACCTCCTAAGAAACAAACTCCAGATTGTATTTTCAGAATAAGACTTACTTTTACCAATCTTCTTGTAATGGGAGAGAAAGTAATGTGCCACCCAGGGCCGACACCCTGAAAAATGTTGAATCTGTTGACCCCCTTTAATATATCATGCTGATTAAAATGATGGCTCACAGATAGCGCTATAAGGGAATCTCCCATTGCATCATAGGAGGAGACCCTTTATCAGTACAGACCAGCTCACTAATAATGCAGGAAGAGGTGGCATGTGGAGGGGTATAATGGCTAGACATAAATCCTGTTTTTTTTTTGTTTTTTTTTATGCACAGCTATTCAAGGTATTTTCCACAGATAGGGTTGCAATTATTCTCCAATTGCATTTATGTTATGTTACTCTGGCTGTATACTATTAGATCTTCAAATGAATGTTTTTTTGAACATCTGTACAGAAATTTTCGGTATTCCTTAGTTTTGGAAAATTTTCCATCCTGATCCTTCAAAATTTTCTTGTCACTACAGTTGAAAATGAACATCAATTTGACCTCACTAATGATTACAAAAATCGAACAAATTACATTTTTTAAACAAAATTCTACTATTGTTCGGCCACTTTTAAAGTTGTAGGTCCTCCTGGGCTTTTCTCTGCCATGGTTTGTGATACATCTCGGCACAGATGAACAATCAGTTATGCAAGCATACTTTGTATTAGTGGTTTGTGGCTTTAGTTCCAACTACAGATTAAAATGTATTCATAGCAGTGTAACATTTTGATTTAGATGTAATGTACTCAACCACTAAACTTAAGCTTTCAGAAAACAAATCTATTTTTTTACTCCACAATAAATATGAACGCTATGTCATAAACAAGAGCACAGTACCTGGAGTATGTTATCAAAATGCAATTCTAAATCTAGATGACGTGTTTTTTGCAAGTATTGTGCTCTACATAATATAGCGCTTTTTTCAGTAAATACAAACAAGACATTACAAAACAAAAAAGGTTTTCATCCAACAGAAACACTAGCTATCATTACACACACAATTCAGACAATAAATGTAGTTTGGGTGTGTGACTTTACTCAAACTATAAAATGTCACTTGATGTTTTTCCTATCACAATACTGTAGAGGCACCACGAGTCTGAATCGTGGAGAATAAGCACTTGATAAACTATGATGGACATGAATTAAAGAAAAAGAATTAAAAGAAGCATCTTTGCATGTTGCCTTTTCCTGAATCAGCAATTTACAACAAGTTAAAGTTAGCAGTTTTGAATTTATGCAGCATACAAACCTGTAAAGTGTCACCAAAACTTAGCATGTGAATGAAGTGACTCATGTCAGGGTTCTGTGGCTGAGCTGTGGCACTGTGTGTAGACACATGGAAATTTCCAGGCACCTAGTAAAAAAAAAACAAAAAAACACGATGATGAAACAATATTAAAAAGATAGATATAAAGACCTTATTCGCATAGACTTACATCTAGCTTCTATATAGATTTCTATTAAACCCTCATTTTCTAAGGCATATGGCACACAGAAAAGCCAATTACTCAGTAAATGCACCTTTCTATATGTCCAGGCAATACAGTGCCAACTCGGTGTTAAAGTATATCTAAAGGCAAGTTCTCTCTCACCAGCCATCTCTCCCCAGCGCACACTTCTCCATGTTTTCTGGCATTGCCCAAAAACTCATCCATTCTGGCAAGAGGTGCAGACGTTGATAAATCAACTCACCTGGGGAGGACTGTAGTCAGAGTCTGATAGGTTTTTTTTTTTTTTTTTTTATACTACATATCAACCAGATTCTGTACTCAATGCATTTATCTCCACCATCTGGAAACCAAAACAAACTAGATCTAGAGGATGGAGGACTGAACCCCTTCCATCCATCATACAGAAGAGAACTTTACAGACACATGGTACGCACAGACCACTTTCTATTATTCACCCATATACCAGGATATGTGTACTACCCCTACCCAGATTAGGTCCCCTTAGTGTGACCTAGAAATTTCACATGCCTCTCCACTCATGCCGATCTGCCCTTCCCTTTTTCAATCATTTCCGAACTAACTCTCTGAACCTATCTATAATTCTCCTCCCCACTTTTGTTTCCTCCCTCTCCTTCTCCCCCATTCCTAATCATCTTATCCTCTTGGGTCCACTCCAGCATATTGTTGAGGAATTCCATTTCTGTCCCCGTTAAGAATTGTCAATTTTATACTAAAAAACAAAAAAGGCACAGGTACAGACCGCTTTCTAGGTTATCTAGTACAAGACATGGCTGTTAATCCAGGGAATTGCTGATTAAGTCATGTCAGCTCTGAACCAGGACAGGAGTAACAGAACTTTACTATATTTATTTCAGGTACTTATATAGCGCCGTCAATTTACGCAGCGCTTTACATATATATTGTACATTCACATCAGTCCCTAACCCTCAAGGGGCGTACAATCTAAAGTCCCTAACTCACATTCATACCTACACATACTAGGGACACTATATGGAATATTTGAGGCAACTGTAGTCCCTGTCTATGGTCTGCCTAATTGATATGATGCCCTACAGTAAATAAAGAAATGTTTAAATAAAAAAGTAATTTTTTGGTACGGTCTATGTCCCATTACAACAGGTGTCTTCCATTTGATTATTTTCCCTCTTTTCCTGTTCAAGTGATGAAAAATCATCTATGACGGTTTTCACCAGTTCTCTCAGTGACAATATTCACCAGGACAAAACAGAGAGTGAATCTTTCTAGTAAAGACAGACAGCAATAAAAAAAAGAAAAAAAAAAAAAAACAGGAGGTTTAACACTTTCACACACTATCCAAACCATTTTTAAAGTAGTTTGATATTTAATTTAAAAGTTCACTTTTGTTAAAAAAAAAAAAAAAAAAAAAACCCTAGCTATTGCCATGCGTCTTCTATCTATAATATTCTTCACAACAGAATCGGAGTTCAGTGTGGGGGCACAACAGATAGGAAGAGAATAGGAACCCATACAGGATTTGTATGACAGGAGTGGACTTTTACTTTAACCTTTATCCACCCAGATACATATATAAATGTTCACTATTTAAAGAGGTTAAAGCAAATGCTGCAGCCATGAGCTTGGTATTGATTTTTAAACAGCCAACATTCGACTTTCAGGGGAGCATAGGACACAAGGTAAACTACTTTATAATGTAGAACATCACCAATCTCCCTAGTGACTATCTCCAATCAATCCTGTGACTAATGAACCAAAAAGGAACATGTGTTACTTTGATCTATGCTAGGAGGACATTGGGGGGTCTAAAAGATGGTGTCTCTATAAACATGGTCTGTCACCTGCCCATGATTTTACACAGGGGGCTTGTTAGCCCTCTTGTGACAGTAATAAAGTTAAAATAAAAAAAAATTGTAACAAAATAAAAAAAAAAATAATTTTTTGAAATCACCTTTCCTCACTCATATGAAAATACATGTGTAAGGACTGAACAAGTATGTAAAAACACAAATTGTGCCAAACGTGTGAGGAATAAAAATCAGAGTGAGAAATAATTCTAGGGCCAAAATTCATGGTTACCTTTATAACCTGTCAAGACCTTTAAAACATTACCTATGGGGAATTGTGGCTACCATACTTTTATTTGGCATCTATTTACTGAATGCAACTTTTTTTTTTGGTTAAAGTATCATATTGCATGCGTTTGTGCTAAAATTCATTTTAGTGAATTTTTTAACTGAGAATATGCATTTCATAAACTGATGCGCAGATATGAGATTTAAAAAAAAATTCATCTGCCAACATTTTATTCTTCAGGGCCTCTGCCTTCATAAAATATATATTTGCTTTGGGGTTTAAGGTACTTTCCAGTAAAATATGTAGATGTCTGTGAGGAATAAAATTACTCACCCAGAAGACAAATGGTTAAAGAATTAGTCTACCAATATTATCATATGACGTCCTCCCAGAATGCGCCCCCCCACACGGTCTGTGATTGCTGTGTCCTTTGGACACAGTTGATCACATGACATGGTAAAAGGCCAGTCAAAGCCTTTTGCTACGTGATCAGCTGTGTCCAATCACAGCTGACCACTATGTAAATACACTTGCTGTTTATCGCCAGTACTTTCCTCATGTTGTCACAGTGTGAGGAAAGTACTGCTGGTAACCAGCAACTGTCAAAGCAGACATCTGCACAGATAATCAGGGCACTGATTATTAGTGTACCCCAAAGTGCCCAGCAGTGCTGCCCATCAGAGCTGCCAATCTGTGCCACCTATCGCTACCGCCAGTCAGTGCCCTTCATTGCCGCATATCAGTGCCTCCTCATCAATGCTGCCTATCAGTGCCGCCTCGTCAACGTACATTAGTGAAGGTGAAAAATTACCAGTTTGAACATATTGGGGAAAAAAAGGGTTTTCTTTTGTTTCTATTATAACATTTTGCACTTTTTTTTTTGTTTATACTGCAAAAAATAAAACCCCAGTGGTGATTAAATACCACCAAAGAAAGCTCTATTTGTGTGAGAAAAAAAAAAAAAAAGATAAAAAATTTCATATGGGTACAGTGCTGCATGACTGCACAATTGTTATTCAAAGTGCAACAGCGCTGAAAGATGGCCTGGGCAGGAAGGGGGTGAAACTGCCCAATAGGCAAAAGTAGAACTATGATATAAAAAAAAAAAAAAAAAAAAAAAAAAAAAAAAAAAAAAAAAAGGGTTGTATTTACTCATGCTTGGAGAGTGTATGTATGTTTTGTAACATGCCAACTCTTCAGGCTATTATAATAATATATATTAACAGATTCTACAGGGCGTTTTAAAGCTATTTGGTTACGGTTCTTTTCCCACCCATATTATGCCATGGGCCTTCACATAACCCACATACAAATGCAACGTACACTAGGCAACTCATTCATACATAATTTACCATCCTACACATATATGTCATCATCAACAAATGTGAACTTGAACTCAGAAAGTGATTATGTGGAGAATGCAAGAACATCTAATTGCTGTAGAATTTAAACTAATAGCATAATTACATGGCTTGTATATTTAAACCTGACTGGTAAGAAGAAGAAGATAGGGTTGTGGCTTTTGAACCTGAGACCAACTATTCTAATACAAAAAAAGCGGGGGAAAAAAACAAAGCAAACACATTTTGTATGAATACTTGACTGACACACACACACACACACACACACACACACACACACACACACACACACACACACACACACACACACACACACACACACACACACACACACACACACACACACACACACACACACACACACACACACACACACACACACACACACACACACACACACACACACACACACACACACACACAGAGCACCTTGTTTATGGTAAACTGTCCTTCAAACCGGCAACCATTGCCATTATTGAGAGGAATCTTCATGGAATTATCAATATGTCCAACTTCATGCCTGCCCATTTCATCCTGAATATCCAAGCCCACCACTGAAAGACAGCATAATACAAGTTCCTTAGAGAAACCTTAAGAATGACATTTAGACAACAACAATGCCTACTAACAGACAAATGTTATGTAGCAATTTTGCTTTATTGTGGGGCCTCATATAGTAATCCTCAATACAGAGCCTTATGGGGGGATTCCCTGCACATTCTATGGGTCATCGAATCAGGAAGTAAAAGGAAACCATAGGTCTAAATGAAAATAAATAAAAAAAACCCCCAAAAAATAAACAGCCTTGAGTTCTCCTTAAAATGCCAATGAACTTGACTAGCATATCAATACTCTCTAAGATGTGTGCCAAAAGGTCATGACAAAGTGGAAAACCACCCTCTTCATCAACATTGGCTATTTGAAATCCTTATGTTGCTAATATTAGTAAATAGATAGAAAAGTATATCATATTTACATGTTTTAAAATTTTACATTTCCTCAGTTACTTCCTGGTTTCAATGCCTAGGCAAATTATGTCATACATCCCAGGAGTCTTCAAGAGGGGAGGAGGGGTTTTCTCAGCCAAGCACATCCTCCTGCCTGCATTCCTGAGCTAAGGGCAGATGAATTCCAGGAAGTACATGTTAGATTAATCTGGCCTAACAGCAAAATAAGCATGGGGACATGGATGGGTGGATGAGTTTGCTTTGAATAATAAAAATGAATTAAACAGTGTCTTTGGTTTGTAGTGCTCAGATGCAGTGAAGTTCCGCTTAAGTAACCCTGTGTCACAAAAGCGTCAGTGAGTGTTGAGATTTGTCATCGACCAAGGAAACCAATTTGGAGTACATAGGACAAGTGTACAAAAAGTCACAACACATGAGCAGGGACAGTGACATTTTAGCTATTTAGCAGATAGAAATGGTCACCTTATTAGCCTGTATGAGATCCCTCTGCGAAAAAGTGTTTTAAAGATACAGTGGTGAAAATTATTATTTGATCCTCTGCAGATTTTGTAATATTGCCCACTTACAAAGAAATGAAGGGTCTATAATTTATATGATAGGTGTATTTTAAATTATAGAGACAGAATATCAAACAAAAAAAAACACGATACATATGTTATAAACGGAGTTGCATTTCAGTGAGTAAGTATTTGATCTCCTATCAACAATAATTTTGGTTCCCACAGACTGGCTATGCGCTTATGTGGTACACAGATTAGTCCTGTTAATTTAGGAAGGTGCTCCTAAAAGACAACTCGTTATGTGTAAAAGACACCTGTCCACAGAATCTTTCTTCCATTCAAACCTCACCACGGTGTGAAAAACCAAAGAGCTGTCAAAAGACATTAGGGACAAGATTGTAGACCTGTACAAGGCTGAACCATCAGCAAAAGGTTTGGTGAGGAGACAACTATTGGAGCGATTATTCGCAAATGGAAGAAATACAAAAGAACCATCAATTGGCCTTGGTCTGGAGCTTCATGCAAGATTTCGGCTCATGGGGTAAGGATGATCATGAGAAAAGTGAGGGATCAACCCAGAAGTACACGGGAGGAGCTTGTGAATGATCTCTATTCAGTTGGGACCACAGTCACCAAACAATCCATTAGTAACACACTACGCCACCATGGATTGAATTCCTGCAGTGCCCGTAAAGTACCCCTCCTCAAGAAGGCATATGTACAGGACTGTTTGAAGTTTGCCAATGAACATATAAATGATTCAGAGAAGGATTGGGAGACAGTTCTGTGGTCAGATGAGACTAAAATTGAGCTCTCTGGCACTAACTCAACTCACAGTGTTTGGAGGAATAAAAATGCTGACTATGACCCTAAGAACACCATCCATACAGTCAAGCATGGAAATGGAAACATTATGCTTTGGGGCAGTTTCTCTGCTAAAGGTACAGGCCCACTTTACCGCATTGAAGGGCCAACGGACTGGGTCATGTATTGTAAAATCTTAGATGAGAACCTTCTTCCCTCAGTCAGAACACTGAAGATGGGTCATGGATGGGGCTTCCAGCATGACAATGACCCAAAACATACCACCAAGGCAACAAAGGAGTGGCTCAAGAACAAGCACATTAAGGTCATGGAGTGGCCTAGCCAGTCTCCAGACCTTAATCCTATAGAAAATTTATGAAGTGAGCTGAAACTTTGATTTGCCAAACGACAGCCAAGAAACCTTAAGGATTTAGAGAAGGTCTGTACAAATGAGTGCACCAAAATCCCTCCTGAGATGTGTGCAAACCTGGTAACCAACTGCAAGAAACGTCTTACCTCTGTGCTTACCAACAAGGGTTTCTCCACCAAGTACTAAGTCATGTTTTGCTTGGGAATCAAATACTTCTTTTACTCACTGAACTGCAACTCAATTTATAACACTTGTATCATGTGTTTTTTTTTCTAAATGTTTAGTTGATATTCTGTCTCTATCCTTTAAAATACACCTGTGATAAAAATTATACACCCTCCTTTTCTTTAGAAGTGGGAAAACTTACAAAATCTGCAGGGGATCAAATAAGTATTTTCCTCACTGTATGAATGGGTCTCTCTATAGCAAAACAGAAGGGCAACACCAGCAACCATTTTGAGAATGACCATACACAATACTTTTCATCTTAATAGCTGTACACAAATAGCAGCTTTTATGGTTGCATGTATATCTAAGCTTCAAAGCTGAAGCAACTTTGAATTCAAAAACTAAGACATTCAACATGGTAAAGTAAATGGTTCAGATGAAAATTGCTCTATCGTGCCTGGAATAATTATTTGGAAGTCTGCAGTGGCAACAGTCACAAACTGTACATTGGACTTTAATGGCAAAATACTTACAGTCACAGTTAAGGTTGGGCAAGCTGATGTTCAGTCTTACATCTATTTTACCTCACTCTCCTTATCAGGATCATCTACATATAGTTCATTAACACTGGAAGAGAAAACACAACATTACAGATTAGTAGACCAATTGGAAGAGTTTGTTTCTCTTCAGCTGTAATAATGTAAGCAGTTCTAAACAGATGCAAGCATTCAAATGAAATATGCCTACCTATAACAAATGTGTGGGCTGCTCACCTGGAAGCCCATGTCCTTCATTTAAATGAGCAACCTGAAAATATTACCAACCTGAAGAGGAATAAGTTTTTTTTTTTTTTTACTGAGTAGGCACTGGTTAGGGCCACTGAAGAATAAGGTTTTTGTTCGGCAAGATCCCGATTAATAGGCATGTAGCCGGAACTATGTAACTGGCACACTCCAATAATACTTGCATTGGTTTAGAACGGCTTACATTATTTACTAGATGCTGAGGATATATAGTATTGCAGCAGGATAGATCTACTAGCAACCAGAAGATTGATGGCTGAAGTGACAATGGCAAGTGTACTGCAAAGTCCAAAGAGGTAGTGGTGACCAGAAACGCTATTACACCAACACTGCGAATACCGTGTGGGATTAGAGAAAATAAAAAAGCTACAGTACACTATTGCAAAATCGCACAGTTTGTTAAAAATAGAAGAAGGTCTTAGGAAATTGGGAGATAAAACTTAGACTTTGTACCTCCAACATAGCATACCCAGCAAAACATGGGAATTATTAAGGTGGCCATGGGTGGGGAGAATTTTGAATGAAGATTCTTAGGGAAAAAATTTTCTAAGAAAGTTAAAGTGGAAGTAAACCCACTTTAGTAACATTTACCTACAGCTAAGCCTTTAATATGGCTTACCTGTAGGTACTGTAAATATCTCCTGAACGTGCACAGTTTAGGAGATATTTACTGTAGAAACACTGGTGATGTCACTGGCGCATGCGTACTGCACTCTCAATGGACGGTGTGCCGACCATTGAGAGAGCCATGCTGCGGTCAAAACTCCCTTCGCGCATGTGTGGGAGTGACGATAATCGCAGTTCGGCCAATGAGATGGCCACAGTTCGCGAACCCGGAAGGAAGACCGGGTGAAGATGGAAGCCTCAGGGAGCCATGACATCGCTCTGCTGCAGGGCTTCCTTTTCAGTAAGCCTTTCATAATGTGCTAGTATGCTCTTAACTTTACTACCACTTTAATTTGGTTTTATAGTCAGTGGGTCAAATCAACATTCATTTTTGTCTGCGGTGACGAGAAAATTCGAAGGAGTAGGATGGAAAATTTTTCTTGAACTAACAAATTTCAAACAGTATGGCACAGAAGTTGAGGAAGCAAGAACTGAGTACAGTTGAATGAACATGATTGAAAGACAAAAGACAAAAAGACAAATATAAATTGTTAACTGAAAATATTCAAAGTGGGCTAAACTTAGCAGTGGTGTACCACTATTTGGCATTGGTACTGTGCCCAGTTGTTTTCAGTCTTTTTATGACCTTATGGTTAGATCAAAGGGTAATTTTATACATGACACAAAATAATGTAGAATTATAGAACTCTATTTGCAATCCATGGAATACCATGGAATGAGGCAGGAATGACAAGAAAAAAAAAAAAAAAAAAAAAAAAGGATCTACTTACAACTCATGGCAGCTACCATTATAATCGCCAAAACACAGTGCTGAAATATTTTGGATTCAAAGAATTAACTCAAACTGCAACTGAGAGATAAGGATAGTTTGGTCTTTGCCTTTGGAAGCAAATTAGCAAAGGTTGCCACAGAGATTCTGTTTGAACTTCCACTGCAACAGCCATGGTTTGTAGGAGCCAGGTGGACTTGTGTGTTGACATTTGTCATACTAATTAATGTTAAACCATGTGATGGGCAGCACAGTGGTTAGTACTTCTGCCTTGCAGCACTGGGGTCGTTGGTTTAAATGCCAACCACGGCACTACAGGGTACTCCAGTTTCCTCCCACACGCCAAAGACATGCTGGTAGGTTAATTGGCTTCTTAATTGGTTGTCGGTCCACAACTGGTATTTTTATGCACTTGCAAGGTCTTCCAAGGGATGAAACATCAGGGAATGTGCATGTATTGTAGAGACATAGTGCATATGTTGTTTTTCTATTTTGCCCTGACATACAGTTTAAGAAATAGATTGGAGGTACTTTAAATGCACAGTGGCTAAATGGTTAGCCCTTCCACCTGGCAGTACTAGGGTTGCTGGTTTGAATCCCAACCATGGCACCACCTGCCTGGAGTTTGCATGTTCTCCCTGTGACTGTGTGGGTTTCCTCCAGGTATTCCAGTTTCCTTCTACACGCCAAAGACATGCCGGTAGGTTAATTGGCTCCTGTCTAAATTGACCCTAGTATATGTATGGATGAATGCGAGTAAGGGACCTTAGATTGTATGCTCCTTTTAGGGTTAGGGACTGATGTGAATGTACAATATATGTAAAGCACTGCTTAAACTGACGGCACTATACAAAAGTACCTGCAATAAATAAATACAAAAAAAACAAAAACAAAAAACTTCTTCTTCATAGCTCCTTCACTATATACAGCCTACAGTACACAAACAGCATTTTACCCATAACATGCTGACATCTATTTGCGAAGCTGTGTGTGCAAAGCAAAAATATGTTTGAACAGAAAACAAAAAGTTCTCCAACTACTCTGCATCGCTTTTTTTTTTTTTTTTTTAAACAAAACAAGACAGGGAGGTGAAAGACAGCTGAGTATAACCTTGTTCATGGGCCCTAATCCATAGAAAGAAGATTGTCAGCATTCATTAAGAAATCCTCTATGGCTCACAAGATCTTTCCTGAAGGCCCAGTCTGTAGTGTGACACAGCTTAAAAACAGCTCTAGGATCATGTGTGATTTAGGTCATAGTGCAACAATCTAAAAATTTGGAAGACTGAAATTAAGAGAATATTGTATTAAAAAGGCAAAAGATGGAAACATCTTAGGAAAAAAAAAACAATTGCTCTATATTTAAAAATATAGATCTTACATTTCATTAAATGCAGTCAAGAGTCATATTTAGCCAGTTTTTCATCATTTCAGCTCGGTAGACCTTTATGTTCTTTAGGCTCAACGTGACTGAATTCAAACTTAATTGATATGCTTAAAGTGCTACTAAACCCAGGACCCTGCATTCACTATATCTGGTCTCCCACAGAACATGGAAGTGCAATTTTAGTTAGATCAATCTTGTGACTTCTATCAGTGTCCAGCAGAGCACATGTTAAAGCTTGTAGGAAGAGAGTTTTCTTTCTGCTCTAGGAGGATGCAGGACCCCCGACCTCTGTCTGGGTAGTGCTGATTGGCACTGTGCTGATCACATGAAAAAAAGAATCCCAGGAAAAGAAAAAAACCAAAAAAAAAAAAAAAACCAAAGCTACAACATCTCTAGCAATACACACTAAACTGAGCATGTGAAGAGTGTCTGAACACATATGTCTGGATCAAATGGCGATTTTACACAATGTGGAGGATTAACCCCTTAGGTTCCACAGTGAGTATAACACGCATGCTTTACTGCATATACAGACTGATTTTACGGCTGTGGGTTTAGTAACAAATTAAGTTGTTTTTTTTTGTCTATATAAAGCTTTTTTTAAGCTCACTGCACATTTGTATTTATTACAGGTAGTTATATAGCGCCATCAATTTACACAGAATATATATATAAAAATATATATATTCTGTATTAAGCGTTATTACCAAAACCCTGTTTCTTGGCCCTAATCAGCAGAAATATTTGTATTGTAAATCCCCAGCAAAAATTGACACTTCCTTGTGGCCCACCCTTCGCACTCCTTCCTGGCTCCAAGTCACCACATAAGTTCAGCAGCATTCAGAAAACCGCTAGCGTCACCACTAAACAGCACTGCTGTCTGACCTTTGTATGCAGCAGCTTCTAGTGCTGATTATTCTCATTGTTGAGGCTTAATGCTGGGTACACATAGGAAGGGATTTTTTTCTGTTCAACTGATCAGGCAAAAGGGAAAAAAAAAACAAAAAAACAAAACCACCACACACACACACACACACACACACATCCAAAAGTTAGTGCGGTGATCTCTCCACTGAGCTACGTGACTAGGGGACCACCCCTCCACCAAGACACATTGATCAGCGCTCGCAGCCACTGGCAGCTGGTTTTCCAGCATGCCCAATCGACAGACGCCTGTCATCAGACCCTCTTCTGTCGGATGTGGAGCTGTACAAGAGTCAAAAGTTGTCCGATTCCTGCCGAACCAACCGGTTTTGTCTGATTTTAGGCGTGTGTGTACCCAACTTTAGTGTTGTGCCATCTAACCTTCTGCCCTAGGCACTGGCCCATTAGGGTAAACAGTTCCCTACCTCCTATAGCTTCTATTTAAACTGAGAGTAAAGTTAAAAAGTGTAACTAAACCCACAACAGTAAAATCAGTCTGTATATGCAGTAAAGCATGCTTGTTATATTCACTGTGGAATGTTAGGGGGTAATCCTCTGCATTGTGTAAAAAGGCTGTTTGATCCTGTCTTCTCTGCCCCTCCTCTTGTTCAAATGTCCACAGCTTATCTTCTGATAAGACAGACTGAACCCGTAGCCACATGCACATGCTCAGTTTAGTTTGGATTGCTAGAGAGGTTTTTTTTTCTTGGGAGAGTGCATGTGATCAGCACAGGGCCAAATCAGCACTGTCCAGACAGAGGGTCAGGGGTATTGCTTCCTCCTAGAGCAGAAAGAAAACTCCTCCTACAAGCTTTAACATGTGCTCTGCTGAAGTCACAAGACTGCTCTAACTGCTGATGAGAAAAGGTATTTAGCAGTTTAAATTTACTAAAATAATTGCATTTCCATTTTCTGTATACTGTGGGAGACCAGATATAGTGCATGCAGGGTCCTGAGTTAAGTAACACTTAATTTTTAAAAAGTTGCTTACATGCAGGGAATTTATGACAGAAGAGACCCTATTGGTCTCTTCTGCCATAAATGCATCCTCCTGTCTGTCAAATGTCATGTTCACTGAACTGAGAATATAAACTGAACTGAGAAAATAAATGCAGTCATTAAACGTCTATGCAAACATTTATGGCCCTGACCAGTGCCATGGCAAT